TACAGGAGAGGACACTTCATGTGTAGAAATTAATTCATCCTCATTTGTGAAAAATAAGTCTAAAATTGAAGGATTATTGTTGGCTCTAAAACTTGTAGGTTCAGTTATCAGTTGTAATAAATTTGAGTTCATAATAAAAGTTTTTAAACAAATTTTGGGAATTGATAGTATCAGTTTTGGAAATAATGGGCCAGCTTATTTCTGGAAAATTGAAATCTCCAACAACAATGAGATTTTCAAGGGATGATAATTCCTCAAGTTTGTTAATAAGCATATTGTCCTGAGTAAGTACTGTATCGGGAGGTCGGTATATGTAAACTATATTAAATATGAAAGAGTTATTAGTAATAAGTAAGTGGATAATTTCTATACCGGGTACGTCTATTGTTTTATTACTGATGGAAAGAGTGTTGGTAATTTCATTTACTAAATAGCATACTCCTCCCCTTGAGTACCTCTATCTCTATGAAATATAGTAAAATTATCAATGTTTACAATAACATCGGGAATAGGAGAATTAAGCCACGTTTCTGTTAGGAGAATAATGTGAGGTTTTAAAAGTTGAACAGTACTTACAAATTCATTAAATTTTGACATAAGAAAGTTTAGATTCGTATACATAAGAAGCCAATCCGTAAATTTTAGTGCAGATGAATTATGAACGAAATTTCATTATCTTTGGATAGCCATTCACCTATTTAATCGTAAGGTCATTTTCTCCATTATTTTTACGAGTTTCAAGCTCAGTACGAAGTTGCTGCATATGTGTCTTGTCATCAATAACAGAATAAGTTTCAGTAGATTTGTTTTCCAAAAGTTTATTTTTGTTACGAAGAATTTTTCGAGTGTGGTGTTCAGAACTCATTATCACTTTTATCATGCGGGGATAACGTTTATTTTGATTTGGTTTACGGACTTTACAAAATGCAACAGGACTTTCTTGACATCCAATGACTTCTAGGGCTAAATGTATTTTATTCTTATCATATTTTTTATTTTGTGCGTCTCCTGTAGGTTCAGGGACGCCTCTAACCAAAAAATTTTTGGAACGAGATATTCGGTCAGCGGCTTCATTGACAATATTGTTCTGAAGCTATTTTCTTGTGGCATTTTAAATTAATTACTATTTAACTGGGAATAAGCCACAATTAAAGATAAAAATACGTAAGTAAATTTACTGTTTGTATTTTGATAACGATTTCCGAATTTAAAATTGAAACGTCAATAAACGTATTTTTATCTTTAATTGTGGCTTATTCCCAGTTAAATAGTAATTAATTCATTGACAATGCCGTCGGTAAATTCTGTTGTATCAAAGTCTTCAATTTTCTTCGCTCTGTCCGCTTTAAACTCGACAAGTAGACTCTTGATTTCAGTAATATTCGTAATGTTTGAACTGCATGCATTGCAAAGTATACATATCCCACGTACTTTTTGCCTCGTAACTCGATCATCGACCGACAGATCCGTACAAGCAATGTGTATTGGTTTCTTATAGCCACCACACTGGAGCTTTTTATCGGAGGTAGAAGTTAGCTTTGAACAATTAGCGCAAAACGATGTATTAGGCATGATTAACTTTGTGCTAGTTTTAGATATGAATTATAATTATTGGATTGATAAATAAACAGCAAATTTGTCGTTATCGCTTATTTGAATGTTCAAAAACACCATCACCATAAATTATTTCTTTGGTTTTTTAAAAACATTTAAAATCAATTAAATTTTAATTTGTCGAAGTGTAGCAAAATACGAAAGCTTCGATCGAAGTCTAATATTAGTATCAAAAAATTGGTATATAGAAAACAACACTTGAAAGTATTAACTAGAAACACGATAAAAAGAATAAAAACGTAAACAACACTCAGAATGATCGAAGACTGCGATGCGACAAACTAAACTGAAACTAGATAGGGATGCGCGATATTCATTGATTGATAAACATCGTACTCCTTGGCTTGATGGTCGATGTTTTGCCATCGATATTTAGGTATTCGATATCATCGATGCTAATGAAACTATCCAACATTAATACTAGTAATTTTTAGTTTTAATAAATATAATAGAATTAATATTGTTCTGAAGCTATTTTCTTGTGGCAATGTAAATTAATTACTTTTAAACTGGGAATAAACCACAATTAAAGATAAAAATACGTTTATTGACGTTTCAATTTCCACTTCGGAAATCGTTCTCAAAATACAAACAGTAAATTAAACAAATTTTGTTTTTTTGTTACATAGTGAAAAATTCTTCTAATAATTTAATTTTATCTGACTCATTTATATTGACAATTCAGACATACATTATGCATTTTAAAGTAGACGACTTTAAAATGATATTGCCAATATTGTTGAGTTGCGCTCCTGGGACGACTTTACTTATAAGATAGTTCATTCGATTACATGAAATCAACTTTAACTTGAGAATATCCGTCAGAAAAAATCATAGCATGTAATTCGTCTTTAAAAAGACAAACACATGACATGATGACAGTAAAATTCTCTTGTTAGTGATTCCATAGTAAATTATGAGGGAAAACCAGGAAAAAAACCTCATAATACTATCCCGACATTGTAAGTATTTGTTCGTGAATTTAGTTTACCTTCAACAAACATCAAAATTCTGATTTTAGATGTTACGTTATTTAAAAAACATAAATCATGTATCCTCTATATGTTACTGACTTACTAATACTGGTATTTTCTTATTAATAACTTCCTCTTTCAATATTGGTAACCAGATCCTACTACATTCTGCCGAGGAATTTGCGACACAATTGGCTTCATTTAGCATAATTAGAGCCGCTTCTTTGATTTTTCTTTTTTTACTATCCGTTTCTTTTAGGACTACATTTGAATTATTCCATTGAACCCTATGTTCATTATCCCAAATGATTTCTAAACGAAATTTCAAACCCACAGTATGGTGGAGATATGTAGATGATGTATTCTCAATATGGCCTCATGGATCAGAGTTGTTGGACACATTCCTAAATGATATAAACGATAAAGAAGAGACAATAACATTTACCATGGAAAAGGAATATAATAACACGCTACCTTTCCTGGATGTTTTAATCTCTAAGAACGATACTGGATATGAGACTCACGTGTATCGAAAACCAACACACACCAATAGATATTTAAATTTCAAATCAAATCACAATATTAATGTAAAAAAGGGAATAATTAAATCCTTATACGATAGAGCCAAAATTACTTGTTCTAATGAAAATTCGTTCTTGGAGGAGAAACATTTGTTAACATCTGTTTTATTAAAAAATGATTATACTTTATCGTTTATAAATAAGGAATTTTCAACAATCGATCGAATAGAACAGAACAACTTAGAACGAGGTCCTACAGCATACACAAGGAATAATATGAGGAAAATAACAATACCGTACATAAAAGGACTATCAGAAAAACTTAAAAGGATAGGAAATAAATTCAACATTTCAACAACATTCAAAACAGCAAACACGTTGAGATCTATTTTGTCCAAAACCAAACCTAACAATGAACAAGAAAGGACAAAGAATTGCATTTATAAAATACCTTGTGAATGCGATCAGTTTTATTTAGGTGAATCATCAAGGCCATTAAATGTTAGAATAAGAGAACATCAATCTTATATTAAAAATAAAGAATTTGATAGATCTCAAATCTGTAAACACGCATGGGATAATGAACATAGGGTTCAATGGAATAATTCAAATGTAGTCCTAAAAGAAAAGGATAGTAAAAAAAGAAAAATCAAAGAAGCGGCTCTAATTATGCTAAATGAAGCCAATTGTGTCGCAAATTCCTCGGCAGAATGTAGTAGGATCTGGTTACCAATATTGAAAGAGGAAGTTATTAATAAGAAAATACCAGTATTAGTAAGTCAGTAACATATAGAGGATACATGATTTATGTTTTTTAAATAACGTAACATCTAAAATCAGAATTTTGATGTTTGTTGAAGGTAAACTAAATTCACGAACAAATACTTACAATGTCGGGATAGTATTATGAGGTTTTTTTTCCTGGTTTTCCCTCATAATTTACTATAGAATCACTAACAAGAGAATTTTACTGTCATCATGTCATGTGTTTGTCTTTTTAAAGACGAATTACATGCTATGATTTTTTCTGACGGATATTCTCAAGTTAAAGTTGATTTCATGTAATCGAATGAACTATCTTATAAGTAAAGTCGTCCCAGGAGCGCAACTCAACAATATTGGCAATATCATTTTAAAGTCGTCTACTTTAAAATGCATAATGTATGTCTGAATTGTCAATATAAATGAGTCAGATAAAATTAAATTATTAGAAGAATTTTTCACTATGTAACAAAAAAACAAAATTTGTTTAATTTACTGTTTGTATTTTGAGAACGATTTCCGAAGTGGAAATTGAAACGTCAATAAACGTATTTTTATCTTTAATTGTGGTTTATTCCCAGTTTAAAAGTAATTATAATAGAATTATAATAAAATTCCACAGAGTGGTTACTATGTCAGAAATATGCAAATTGAAATAATGTTATTATGAAATACAAACGAAATTCATTTTATTATAGTTCTAATTACCTGAAAGTTTGAAAAAACATATTAGTTTTATTATAGACTGGTTACTAGGCACTTTATAAATACACAAATTAAAAAAAAATAGTGTTTAGAAAGCTTTCCTATTGTAGTTTGCTAAAAAATTATTTTTAGGTAGTTACTTCCTGAAATTTTGGAAAACCGTTTAGTCGAAACATTTTGTTTAGATTACAAGTATTTCTATATTGTAGTATTAGTACTGTGCATTTCAAAAGATTTTATATATTTAGGTTTAATTATAATTCTACATTATAATTTTACTACATTTTGAATTTAACGGCGGTCCGCAAAAAACAAGCTCACAGTCCGAATGCGAACCGCGGTCCGCCATTTGATGACCCCTGTCATAGGTCAAAGTGCACTCAAGTGTCTTTCCTTCTACTGTTTTATAATCAAAATATCATAATTCTAACTAAATTTATTTCTTTATTCTTTAAAATACAGACAATATTCCCAAATTAATTAGTAATTAAACGACAATAGAAAAATATTAACAAATGAAAGATCAGTAATCGAAAGAGATATCATCATCGTCATCATCGCCATCATCATCCGTTCCGTAATCATTCATCAGTTGGTCCATGGCAAGGTAGTATTCAAAATCGCCCTTATCATAATATTGGATGGCTATATACGGATCATTCAAATCTAAATCAAACAGCCCATTGGTAAGTTCATCATCATCATCGTTCATCCATAACAATATTTGTTCTAATACTTCTCTCTGGTCTATATCTTCCCTTTCACCTAAAACGTTTCATAAGATGTTTCTAAGTTTCATAAGATGTTTCTAACCTAAGAAGTTTCATAACGTAGTTAATCAAACTCACATTTTAAAAACAGGAGAATACATTGATAACAGGTTGCCACTCAAAAAATGATGTGTTTATTTTGTGATGTAAGTGTTAATTTTTGAACTCACACAACTGACACTCGTCATGTCAAACCAATGGCGTTGCGCGCTAGCTCTTTTTTACTTTATCCATTTAATTAAAACTATTTGCGGCCACTTTTCGACAGACAACCTTTTATCAACGTATTCTCCCATTCTTAAATATATGTAAAAATGTGTGTTTTATTAATTATGTCATTAATGTAGTGATTTTGCAGTGAGATCTTATGACTATACAAATGAAAACGTTCTGGAAAAAAAGCTTTAATAACTCATATCTACAGTAGTGGTGGAAATGCAAACATTTCTATTCCACTGGGACACGGGTGACCAACCCGAATCTTAGAAGTCGCACGAGTTATTGAAAAAAAAAAGAATTTTTTTCGTCACTCATTCATTAACTTCAAAATGTAAATGAGGACGATATCACGATTCGTAAATTTAAACCGGAGTGGGAGGAACTACTCTTATTTACTCATCAGAACACTTCCAAGCTTTGCTGTATTTGATTTCATCAACAATTATTCTGTCGTGTCATGCCTACGAACCAAATGAAAACAAAAAATCTTTATTAACACGTTAGCTGCCACACATCTTTTTTAACATTTTTTCCCCTCGCTGAATATATATTTTACAATACACAACATCTTACAAGAATCGGTTGAATGTGGAGCAGTTCTACTCTAACAGCTGAGTCAAGCTAAAAAAGAAAAGTTGATTGAAACCCTGGAAAAGTGTACATGACACATAGTAGCAAAATAGTATGGAGCCTTGTTAAAAAACTTTGCGGGTATCTTAATGAAAATAAACCACCTTGCAGGGTTACAACAAACCAAGTCGCTACTCAACTCCTTGTGAATGGGAGAATTAAGAAACGATATAAAGACCCAAAAACTAAAAGGAGGATTACACTCAATTTATAAGTTGATACGAACAGGTGTGCCAAGTTTTACTCTTATGCTATGGATCTCTACAATATGTGCTGTAAAACGTGCAAAATTCCAAAATCATAGAGAAAAACTAAAATATTAGCCTCAGACTAAGGAAGGGCTCAAAAATTACAGTAACTACAGACTTTTTTTTTCTATTAAAGACCTCATCCTGGCCAGAATAGAAAAAAAAATGTCGACAATCTCCTCATTCCACAAAAAGGACAATTCAAACCAGGCAAAATCTAGTGTGCACTAGAAGAACATGTTAAGAAAAACTTATAACAAGAGCTGCTTTTGTAGATCTGAAAGTAGCCTATTACATGGTAAGACTTCTTCGTATTTCTTGCTGTTTTATCAATATATTACAATCCTTATAGTTTAAGATCCACTGCAGGATCACTACGTTCATAAGGTAATTAATCAAAATCACATTTTTACATACATTTAACTCTAGGAGAATGCATTTTGCCAGTCAAAAAGTGGCCCCAAAAAGTCTAAAATACACTGTTCATATTTTTCTTAATATGGTGATATACTGTTGCCTGGAAAAAATTGGTTCAAAATTAGGGTTGCCAGCTGCTAAAAAGGCGAGGTATCAAAGATAAAGTAGAATAGAGTTAACGACACTGGTTTGACAAGTGATAATATGTATATTATTATATATCTATCGACCCTTGCTTTAAAAACTCAACACAACTGACATTTCAAACCAGTAGCGTTGCACGCTAACTGTCTTTTACTTTATCTTTGAAACCTCGCGTTTTTAGCAGCTGGCAACCCTAATTTGCGACCTTTTTTCTCAGAAGACTTTATATCATATTAAGAAAAAAATTAGCTTTAATTTGATATAAAAATATGTTTATACGTAATGAGCAGCGTATTTTATTAAAAAATAATAATAAATGAACGAAATAAAATTTGTCATGTATATGAGAAATGAGGAATACAGTGTATTCTCCCAGGGTTCCGTATTGGCTCCCATTTTATACAATAAATATGCACGTGATGTACCGCATTATAGCAGAAACAACCAAAATATCCTCCTGTATGCTGACGATACGGGTTTCCTCTCCAGCGGCAAGGCTGACGTAACATCGTTAAATGGTGTGCAAAATGGCGAATAATACTAAACGCAGATAAAACTCAAGCTATGGTGTTTCGACACCCTAGCTATAGATTCACCGAATTTCCGAGACCTCCCTCAACGAGACGAGACTCGAGCTGAAATCATCTGTCTCCTAGCTGGGAGTTTTATTAACTAGTATAATCAAAAACAACCTAACCGTTGAAGAAGTGCTCCAGTCACCAGGCCGCTCCCCACCCATGCGCCAATCATAGACAAACGCCGTAACTCCTCCTGAGCCAGCCGACCTCAGCCGTTGAACTCGCGACAGCCAACCCCGCGAAAGCTATTGGTTGGGTTATATGCATAACTTAATAAATTTCAGTGCAATACACTGGTTCGAACCATGGTACAATGAATACAAGGTATGATATTGCGCATGACATTTGACAGCTGGCCCAGGGTGTGACGTAGTCAAGACCGCTCGAACTCATTATTACAGCGTAACGTACACATTAATTTTGAAATTATGATCAAAAAATGATCGATTTTTTCTTAAATGTTTTGGTTTTGGTTATAATTGAATAAAAAATATATTTTCAATAACGTAAAACCTTTACTTTTCCTGGGGATTCCGGCGAAATATTTATTTTTGTTTTCATACATATACATACTAATTACATACGCACTCTTTTTGAATAGGTAAATAGTAGTAGATTTGCGTATTTTGATTTATGTCACTCATTTCCAAGCAGTGTTATTAAAATAAAAACAAAATAGATTACAATAAAGGAAAATCTGATTTATAATTCAATATGGTATTTTAGATTTAATTATTTTTAAATTTAGTAAAATAAAAAATATACACATTACTATAACCTACCAATTATTATATTCAGATACAAATTAGTTCAAACGCAAAACACAATAAATATTGAATTCAGAGGACTTTACACCGGTAAGACAGAAGGCTTGTATAAAAACAAAAGTTCGACAATAATATTGGTTATCAATGGTACCGATTACAAATTGCAAGTTATGAGCTAATAATTATATTAGTAACTCAATACTGACTGAGTCATCTATTTTATAATATAAAAATAATTTAGATATATGCTGATATCAAGTTGACTTTATCAATATTTATTTTGAATTTTTGTTTAGTTCAGTATATACGTAAACAATTTGTGTATCTTCATTATCACTTTTTTGTATCTTTTTAAACATCTGAAATATCAAACTCTGGAAGTAGAAGTTGATTAACCTGTACCTACGTGTAATAAAAGAATTAAAACTTGTTTTATAAAGGATATACATGTTAACAAAATAGCTGTACCAAAAATAAATAAATTTAAATTAACTTCAAAATTTTATTTATGATTAAATATTATAATAACATAATTTTATCAACTCCTTATAATTACTATAACTAAATTAGCCAAATTTATAAAAAAAAAAAGTAAAATTAAAAGTCTTTCCTATACAACTACATTCCAATGAAGCATGAAGATGCAGTCTTGACTACGTCATGCGCTACGCGAACCGATTTTGGAACATTATGTATCATACCTTGTGTTCATTGTATAATGGGTTCGAACGTTGGCGAGGCATGCAAATCGACACAATAAACAAGGGCAAGTAAGCGGAGTGGCCGTCTACAGGAGCCAACGAACGTAGTGATTCTGCAGTGAGATCTTAGACTATTATCTCTACATATCATTGTTCTGAGTTTGAATTATTATCTGCTTTTGTTCAGTTTCTGGTAAAACTTTCTTGGTCTCTGTTGACTTACTTAGTTCTTGTTGTTTTTTTCTCTCTTCTTTCTTCAACGGATTTTCTTTTCTGCTTTAAATAGTTGTTTTTATTCCTTCTCTGCTTCTCGGGTTATGTGCCCCTGTTGCATCAGTAAGTATGCTCTGTTTATTCTTTCGGTTATAATTTGTCATTCTTCATAAAACCAGTCAACCACTAAAGGTAAATAACCAAATAATGAATTTATTTGAAGCTCGGCGCCAATAATTTCCATTTTGGCCGGCCTAGACATTTAATAGCCTCAATAATCCCAGTCAGTTTTACTCATATAGGATGATGTTACAAGCTGAATTCAGAATTCTGGAATGGGTATCATAAATGGAAGGTGTGCAGTAAACCAAATGGTTTCAGTACGATCAGTTTATATTAGATGGCTTCCGAACAAAAAGATCATCTACAAATCTTAACATATTTTCATGTGGTGTCATAACTTTTATAAATACGTCGTTAGCAACCAAACACATTAAACCATTTTTTTGGCCACAAAAATCCCAAGGAGCTGGTGGAATGTTTGTGAAGAAACTGACGGTAATTCTATAGCAAAAAAGCCATTGCCAAGGTAAATTTACAAATTTCTTGTATTTAATGAATTCACTAATCATTAAAGACTAAGATGCAGTTCCCCACAGACAAAGATAAATGCATTTTAACTATGGAGAATTATTTGGAGCAACTGAGAGATCCTGAGGTATGATCTTGCAGATACTACATAAAATGGTTAATTGTTCAGTCATGCTTCCAATGAAGAATTTCAGAGGTGTTCTGAGAATAAAATAGTGCAATAGAATTTATATTTTTTGGCCCTTCTATACGGTTTGCAGATTTTATATAGCCATGACTCAACTGTTATAGACAATTACATATTAAATAAACTTACCAGACCCCATACCTCTTCGTCTTCTAGCTTTGGGTGGCCCTACATCTACAACTGTTCCATTAGATAAGGCATGTAAATATAAGCATGTATTTCCAAACGGACACTTTCCTGAACCTTGGCGGAAATATTTACAGTCTTGTTTTTTCATTTTATGTCTTTGGCCATCTATAAAGTTCAATTTTTCTTCTTTTGTTTCAATCCATATTCTTGAGGGATAGACAAAATCTACAAGTGAAATTGATGTGTTTAATCACAGATACAAGAATTTTATATACAACTTGAATAAATGAACACTTACCTGATGTAATTCTACATTCTGGACAAGCTTTTGACACTTCAAATTCAAATTCTTTACTTTGCCTCCACTTTCTTATACATGTAAAACAGAAGCAGTGATTACAATTAGGAAGTATACCAAATGTCTGCTGAGACCTATAAAATATTAAGATTATTTTATTGTGTTTTATAAAGGTTTTGGATAAGTCGTAAGACTATCTGAATTAGAAACAAATAAATTCTGTATACAGTGAGGTGTATGACAAGGAGAACTGTCTCCCCAAAGCTATTCATGACACTTTTAGAACATACTTGTAAGAATGAAGATCTGAATTAATATGGTATCAACAAAGGAGATAAGTTCAGCATTTGCAGATGACATCCATCCTTATAGCCGATCGAATAAAAGATGCAATAATAATGTTGGAAAAATTATATCACCTTTCCTTGTAGGTCAGACTAAAGATTAATATGAGCAAGACGTAAATAATAACTAAGCTGGTACTAAATCGTAATATTGCTGTTGGTGGAAAGGATATTGAGCAGACTGCATCGTACAAATACTTAGGGTGTGGAATTATGTTAGAGAAAGATAATTAGACATGTTAGCTCCAATGTCGCATTGAATTAACCTGTGCAGCGTTTGGTAAATTAAAGTATGTATTTAAATTGGACCTACCCATATGCCTCAAAAGGAAAATCTTTGACTGGTCTGTGTTACATGTACTCACTTATGGAGCGGAAACATTAACACTCAAGAGCACAACAAGAAATGCAGTAAAAAAGATTCGCGTGATTCAGAGGGCTATGGAGCACCAGATATTGGATAACTCTCTGAATACATTGCAGATAAAAAAACAGACGCTATCGAAAAAATCACGTCAACAAAATGGAATTGAGCAGGACACATCGCCAGACTATCTGACAAATGGACAAAACATATTGTTGAGTGAAGGCAGTGGTCACCCACCTACCAGATGGACTGACGACTTGAAAGTATACAAAAACACAAGTTTTGTTTTTTAATTTCATAACAATTGCGAATTTGGCTTACCATTCTGGCTCTGTCAGATTTGTCTCAAATAGCATGTAATAATATTCAACAGGCCTAAACAATAGGCTTTAGTCAATACTGAAAGAAGGAGGAGAAAGAAGAGTATGGGAAAAAACTATACTCTTGTACACCTTGGAAACCTTTTAAAACTGTTTGATTATTATAATATGAAAAAAATAATGAAGTACACCTACCTTGATTTTTTTAAAACTATATCAAAACAAATACCACAGATTTTTTCTTCAGATTCTGATACCTTCTTAACCAGACTTATAGCAGTTTCTGTTGTAGATGTACCAGGTCCGTAATTCTTAGGTGAGAGTTCTGTTTGTTTAATAAGAGGAAGAGCACAAGCTCCATCTTCTTCATTTGGCTAAAAACATTAAAAACTACTTAAAAAACAAGTTTGTTTTTCTATTCTATGTAGGGAGGCTACCATAGTTAAATTGCTCTTATTACTCTGATTAAATTGACACTAATTACGATATATAAGGGTAGTATAAATCTATCATAAATTTCTTTGAAAGTATCTATTACAGTATGGTGAAGCAAATATCCTAAAATATATTTCATTCATCTCCTTGGAATTTATTTTCTAAATTATAGCATATTTGTAGAACACACACAAAAATTTCAAATAATTTATATTATAAAAATATTTGACTAATAATAAACACATTTCACATATGCTACCTTTTGTGTTACTGACAAATATTAACATATTTAACGAAAACTTTGAACATATAGAGTTTGAATTGTTTAAACTAAATCTGTTTTTCTGTCTACATAGTTTTTGCTTTAATAAATTTGCCGGAGTTGTATTTATAGGGTAAAGAGATATAAAGTATAAAGAGTAGAGAGATGTAGATCACTGAAATATTTTTTCAACCTTTAAAATTTGTTCAAATTTAAAGAAAAAAATTACTGTATATATTTTTAATTTGTAAATAAGCATTTGACAAATTTGGTGACTTGTTTAGATTTACACATTTAATAATAGAAGTTTCATATCAGGCACTTTTGATCCTTCAATTGATTCTTTTTATTGAGATGTTTATTATAATTAATATTCATAACTGAATCTAGAAAATATAAATTGTTTAATCCTCACTATAAAATTTGTTTTACTGCCCTATAAATAGGTTACTGGTACTTACTTAGTGATATCAAAATATGCTACATTTCAGTATTGACTATTGAGTATGATGTGAATCTGTGCAGAAATAGTTAAAATTTTTTAAATGTTACATTTCTTTATTACTATTTGCATAAAAAGTTTTGTATTGAATCATATTTGGGAGAAATTATTTGATAGTAAGTAACAAATATTTTAACAAATATTATTTTGGATAATAAATAAATTAATAATAAATATTTTGGAAAAGATAACCACACTTTTATCTGCAATGCCTGATAAATTTAGTTCAGTTGTAACATCCATGGATATTTTATTTTGTTCTGATCCATCAAAAGTAACTAGATTTTGTGAAAAATAATTTAATGGCAGAGTGGCAGACAATGATTGTTTAAAAACAAAGTAAGTTATTAGTGTACCTGTTCCTTCGCATACCTTTGTTGGTCATGATAAATATAAAGGTAAGGGCAAACATACTTTTAATATTCATTGTTATCACTGTTATCAACTATAATACTAACGAAATCTTGATAGTAGAGGGCCAGCAGATCGAAAGAGTAAAAAAGTACACTTACCTAGGAACACTTATAACAGAAAATAATGACTACACGGCAGAAATCAAAGTCAGAATCGAAAAAGCAAGTTCTAATTTTATAAAAATGAAAAAGGTCCTATGTGGCAAAGATCTAACATTAGCTCTTAAAGTACGCCTAACAAAATGTTACGTATACAGTATATACTATATTATGGAGTGGAATCATGGACGTTAAATCTAGATACCATGAGACGACTTAACGCCTTTGAGATGTGGACCTATAGAAGAATTATGAGGGTTTCCTGGGTAGATAGAGTTACAAACAATGAAATACTGAGAAGAATAGGCAAAGAGAAGGAAATTGAACTTACAATTAAAGAAAGAAAGCTACAGTATCTCGGACATGTGATGCAGGGCGATAAGTATGGCATCCTGCGACTCATAATGCAAGGAAAAATAGATGACAGAAGAAGCATCGGAAGATGACGAATTTCATGGCTGAAGAACCTGAGAGAATGGTTTGGATGCAGCTCAAAACAACTATTTAGAACTACTGCCTCAAAAATTAAGATAGCTATGATGATTACCCACCTTCGTAGCGGAGATGGCACCTTAAGAAGAAGAAGAAGAAGTTATCACTGTTATGAAATGGAGCATATTCACTCAAAATGTCCAAAAAATTATCTAAAAATCATTAAACATATCATATGAGTAATGTAGAAAATAAAGAAATTTAATTTCTTGGTTTCTTCTTCATCTTCTGGTTCCTATCCATTTCAGATGTTGGAAATCATATTGGCAATCATAACCTTGCTTGCTGCGGCTCAAAACAGCTCCGTTGAGGTTTTCTTAAACCATGTTCTTAAATTCGGCAGCCATGATATTCTCCTTCTACCGGGTCCACGCTTACCTTTGACTTTACCTTGCAATATAGACTGTAGCAGGGAGTAACGGTGCTGATTTCTCATAACGTGTTCCAGATATTGCAATTTTATGCCTTTTATTGTAAACACAATTTCTTGGTAGTCACACAAAATAGGAAGTTGCAGTCAGCTGTGATTCAAATGTAATGAATAGTGTACACCTGGTTGTGGATAGTGGTTGTACAAATCACTTATTTGTATCAAGCAACATTCAATTTTTGACTAATTCCAAAGCAGCCGATAGACAAATAAATGTAGTAAGGGTTGGTGACAAAATTTCAAGGTAGTTTCTCAGCTATATCTAAAGAATGACTTTCAGTTAATTTGAATGATATTTTTGTTTGTGACAATCTTTCTTACAACTTATTATTAGTAAGACAAATTTAAGAAAAAGGTTTTCATGTGATTTTTGAAACTAAGGAAGTAAAAATCATGAGGGGTGATACTACAATTATTATTACTGGAAAATTGATCGGTAATTTGTATTTTATAGAATTGCAATTGTATTCAGGTGTGGTTAACATTGTTTGTGATACACCTGACTTGTGGCACAAGTGGATGGAACACTCTTGTAGATTTTCTAAGAGTTCAGTATGTCAGATATGCTTGAAAGCTAAGCAGGCACATTTTCCATTTTTAAGGAGCATTCCAAATGATAGGAAAACTTGATGCTTACTTCAAGATGTGGCCACAGATGCATGTGGAAAAATGTAAAATGTGAAAAGCTGTCCTACTCATGATGGTAAAAATTATTATATTTCATTCGTTGATCATTACAGTCATTTTGGAGTGTTATACCTTATTAAAGAAAAGAATGAAGTGGAAACATTCTTTAGGTATTTTGTAGCCTTAACTGAATCAAAATTCAACCTGAAAGTAGAGTATTTGAGATGTGGTAATGCTGCCAAGAATAGTTCTAAAAGCTTTTAAGATTGTTCTACTAGTAAAAGAATAACTATACAATATTCTGTACCCAGGAATCCAGATCAAAACGGATTAGCAGAAAAATACAATTATACTAATTTAGATAAATCTAGATGTTGAATTTTGGACAGTGGTCTTGACAAGTAATTTTGGAGAGAAGCTGTCTTGGCTGCTGTGTACTTAACAAATTGAGCAGGCATAAGTACATTGCCTAATGACTGTACACCAGCTGAAGTTTGGTGTTGTTACAAACCTGATATAAGCAAAATTAAATTATTTGGATGTAATGTTTATGCATGTATTCCTGAAAATGATCAATCTGGGAAGTTTGCTGAGAGATCAAGAAAATGTATTTTTATTGACTATTGTCACAATGGATACTGCCTCTGGGAACCTCTAAAACTAACAGTATTTACATCTCATTCAGTTAGATTTGATGAAACTTGGTGAAAGTGAATCTCCAGTTTATGTGATGAGACATAGAGGTGTGGATGAGCAAACTATTACTGAACCTGTTAAAACTAACCCTGAAGTAATACAACTTGATAGTAATCAAGAAAACAAGATACATAGAGGTTCAAGAGATAGACATATCACTTCTTGTATTGGTGACTATTAAATGAGTATTATGATGGCTTTATCTGTTGTCTGTTTATCTTTTGAATTATCTAAAAACTATACTGAAGCTGTTGTGATGGGGAATAAATGGAAGGAGGCCATAGATATGGAACTTTTTGCATTAGAAAGCAACAATACCTGTACTTTGGTAAAATATAAGGCTGATGACATAATCATTGACCCACAATGGGTTTTTGTTGATAAAAATGTTGGTGAAAAAAACTGGATTAGTGGCCAGAGGCTATTAGCAGCCTGCATTCAACAATGAAGATGTGTATGCACCAGTAGCTAGATTAACCACACTGAGGGTACTATTAGCCACTGCTGTACATTGTGATATGGATGTAATATAGGATTTAAAAGATCTAAGGTTGATCCTTGCTTGTATTTCAATGAAAACGTTTATGTTTTGATATGGATAAATGATATTTTTGTTATTTTAATTTATGAAGATGATGTCAAATTTTTAAAATCAAATTTGTAGAAAATTTTAGAATTCAGTGATTAATCATATGAAACAAAAATTGTCTTTTTAGGATTAGCAATTGAAAGAAGAAGAAAAGACTTTGGTTTTTAGTAAGAAAAATTTAGTTACAAAAATCACTAATCATATTAACATCACATAACATGGTACATTGTAACATTAGTGAAATTCCAATGGGACTTAAATTGAATTTAGAAAAAGAAGCTAAAACTGATTTTAAAGTCCCTTATAAACTATAAAGAGGTATGTACTTGGTAACTTGATGTATTTAATGCTTGGCACAAGGCCAGATTTGTGGCAGAACATGAAAAAAAAATAGCTCAAAAACAACTTTTTAAATGTATAATTATGGTCAATACTATCTCGCCTAGAAATTAGTCAGTGAATTAGGCATAATGGGGATACCATTAAAAAATGCATTTCCACACTAAACCTCATAAGTGGTCAGGAAAAAGGTCAATAATAAACTAATAATACCATAAGAATGTTAACAAAATAATAAATTATATAAATAAAAACATAGGTAATAAAAAACTAAGCAAACTGGTTTGTTTTTATGGTATTCTTAGGGGTATTCAGGAACCCAGTCAACTTCAGGAGTGCTGTAAATCCCACAGAAATTAATGAAATTGAACACATTTGTAGTGAAAATTATTCATTGAAAACCTCCTATAATATTGCTCTGATGTCTTTTTATTTTGTATAAGGTCTAAACGAAAATTTGTTCAAAAATTTTATTTTTGTTAACACCTTTTTTATTTTCCATTTTATGATAACAAATTATAGAAATAAAGTTATAGACAATTTAATTTGCTACAAATAATGTTGCAGAATTGAATGTTTTACATTTAAAATGATCGCACATCACAGAAAATGCCTCCAAGAAGACAGTTTTTGGTGTAGTTTATAGAAGAAGTTTGGTTATTTTGAAAAATTTATTAGTTTACTTAATTGAAAAAATTTTTAAACATTTTAGATTATTTATTATGAGAAAGTTTAAATCCAGCATTGTTTAAGCATATTTCAAATGCCTAACATTTGCTGCCAAAACTAAAATCTCATGCTATAGGTTTTGAAGATTAGGCTATAGTAATCGAAACTTTATAGTGGCCAGTAAATAAAAGGGATAGATTGTATTATCTCATAAGAATCATAAAAAATGGCAAAAATCTCGCCACAGTTATTTATTTAACACCTTTATAAAATCTAAGTTCACTTGCAGCAAAATACAAAAATTGCGTACAAAAGTTGAATTCTTGACTCAAAAGATTATATCAAATTTTTACTGTAGAGATGATACAAATTTTATTGAAAATTGATGGTTGCTTCAAGCTTTATTTGTGAGAGAACCGTTCATTCTACACAAAAAGTACTAAAAAACATTTCTGTTTAAAATTATCTCAGCTACATTTTTATTTAAAACATTTTTTTCGATAGCTTAAGGATTCTTGGTAAATCAATTATTTTGCGTTTTTACTCCTCTATGAGGGGGTTTTAGGGGGAAGCCCGTAGGTAAAATTGGTAAACTTTATTGCATCTTTTTTGAGATTCCATAATTAATATTCTCCACAAAATTCAGCTTGTTCATATGATTTCTAGAGGTTAAGTGGCATTTTCGTCTCTTGAGGACTGGAGTAATATGGCTTTTACTTTAAAATTATTTTATGTATGTTGGCAAAATCTTTTCTTTTTGTTGATTACTGAAGACTTACTTGTCACTTGTCACCAGTCTGTATCTGTAAACTTTACACTTTTGTACTTTTAAAACAATTCTTTTGTAATTAAATATAATAATAGGGTTATTATTATTAACCTGTGTAAACATTACATGTATGCAGTATATGTGTGTAGAAACATTGACAATGAATATAAGACAACAGTATAGTTGCATTCAAGCACAATTATATTTTTCACCCCTTATTTGATCACTAGTTATTCAGAAGCTATTTGTATAGGCAGATTGAGTAATTAGAGTAACTTACCTCATATTTTTCTATAATCTTGTGAGGGCTTTTTTCGGGAATCTCATGTAAGTTCCAACATCTTGTACCAAACCTGCACATTCCTTTGAGGTTAAATTTACATATTGTTCTATTTCCATTAATTCCAATATTCATTGTTCAAGCAGTATCTTAACTAGTTGTTTAATATCAAATATTTCTAAATTATTAGGATACTAATACACAATTAAGGAAATATCTGGTGACAGAAGAGATGGGACTAATTTGACATCAAAAATTTCATTGACATCTAATTCTAAGTTCCTAGAAACAACCTACAAATAAATGAAAAAATTTTTATTCAAATTACATACTCCTAAAAAAGTGTCAAAGAGAATATTGCATAGCTCATCAAAGTAAAAAGTAAATATGAACTATACAAATAATAGAGTTGTAAATTGTATCATATAAATTTAGTTGGTCAGCAATCTGTCTGATGGATGTAATAAAACATGTGTTTTGTCTAGTCTACAGATATATGGATTACTACTAGAAAACTATGCTGATATCTAAAGATAAATTCATTCTTTATCTTTGAAGATCTACCAAAACTTATATAAATTGAGTGCAAGAATTAGAAAATATTATAAATGTAATGCTACCTTTTAAATACTCAATTTTACCATGGTTTTGTTAACAAAATTGTTCAACCCGATAATGAATCCGGTTTAGTTGTAATCTATGGTTAGGTATTATTTATAAAGAAAAAAATAATTGGGACTATTGTTATGTCGTTATTTTAATACAGAAACATTATCTGTCTAAACTGGTTAAAATTTAAGATAAAAAAACTTACAAGGCTTCATAAAAAGTATGTTAATAATTAAGACTATAAATAGTAATTGATGTAATTCTAATATTTTAAACCAGATTTACAATTTGTACTTACCTTATTAACAAAAAAATATATATATAAAAGTTATAGCTATATAATCTTGAAAAAAGTAATGGCACTATAGACAACTAAAATAATAAACTAAAATTATATGCTTGTTACAAGCATAGATTGCTATTAAAAGCAATCGTATGCTATTTTCAACAATGTGTTAATCAATATAAGTTAATGAACAGATGTTACATTTACTAACCAACAACCTCCACCGTTTTCTTTTAGTTTTGATAAATAAAATGGCGCATCTTATGAGTGCTCATGACATGAATGTGTTTTGTTGTCACTTGTCTTTTGTCTTTGGGTCACTGTCAAGTCACAGAATAATAAACATACAGAATACCCACTCTCCACGGAAAATTAAGTACGCGCATCTCCTCCGCGCAGACGTTCCGCCATGTTTTAGGAGGATTTTAAAGAAATTATGTGGTGTGCATGGAAAAATTAACCAGGTTTATTTGACTTACGGCAATCATAGACATACTATACAATTATATTAACATTGTTAAATATAATAACATAAATATAATATAATTAAACATAAATATAAACAATTACATAACCACACAAATCATATGTCTGTGTCCTCCTCAAACATGGCGCGCGTGCTGAAAAACTTCAAAGGCGGCATCTGAGAGTGTCCCTTCTGATTGTTTATTATTCTGTGGTCAAGTCAAGAAGAAAAATCTGCTCAAGATCTGCTCAAAAACTTCAAAATCACAGAACACGACGTTTTGAATCCGAAAGATAAAAGATCGCAGAATAAAGTGGGAGAAAAATAAGTTTGAATTAATGAATATAATTTGAAATATATAAAGTCTGTATTTTTTGAGCTTTTTAAGCAAATACCTAGGAAAAGACCAACAATAGTACTAACTTAACAAAATCAGAATTGCTGCAATTACAAAAAATGGCAGGTATAGACACAGACACACTATTTTATAAAGTGGTAAATCAACTGGCTGTAAAGATCTCGGGTAAACAATATTTAAACATAATTTGAAATTCCAATTTAACAATGAAAAATATTCGCGATAGCCAATTCCGACAGGGGGCGCTGAAGATTTTAAAGATGAACGATAACTTCGGGAAAACAGATCATTATTGTCATTTGATCTCTAAGGTATAAAACGTTAAATATAAATCATTTACACGTGTGTTTTGCCCAGAGATCTCTTACATATCTCTGGTTTTGCCAAAGTAAAAGTTGGAGTACGTTCTTCAAAGTTTATTTGTTTGTGATTTGAGTTTATACATATGGTAATTGACTCCCAAACCTGAATAAAAAAATTAAATGTAAAAAAACAATTTTTACAGTATGTCTAAAACACGGGAAGTAAAAGTTACATTATCTTAATTATTTATATGGTTGCAAAATCGGCAGAGATCTTTAGTTGAGGGAAGGCAGGTTTTGGTGTTGGCCACGTTATATTTTGTAAATTACGCCTTACGTTTTCTACTAATAACTTCATGAGATCGTTGGGGCAATTTAGCTGATGGAACAGTATTTTTCTTCAGTCTTCTGAATTTAGTTTCAGGTGTTACTATAAAGTAAATTAAGTATAAATATATTAAAATATAAATAATATTTTAATCAACACTTGGAAAGTAATCGTTCTCAGTACAATATAAACTGACAGTCACGTACTTTGTTATATGTTTGCCAATTCACAAAATGCATTGCCAAACTCGTCTCATATTCTCATCCAGCGGAAACTTATGTATGGAATTTTTTGTGAATTATAATAGGATGAACATTGAGGAACACTAATAGTTTTTTGAAGTCGAAGTCATTGTTAATTACAATATAAACCGGTCCCTATGTTTTCCCGAAGTGGATGCTTTTGAAATCCACCACCAGGCGTCGCCCACTTTGCGGTTTCTGGTCAATATCAAAGTATAAAATTAGTGAATGTTAATATATTTAAACAAAAAGAAGAAAAGACAATTGACGTTTTATGTTAGTAGACAGTTAGAGTTAGGTTAGGAGTGATATTTTGCGTTTTAAAAACAAACAGTTTTGATAAAATCCATAAGAGTATATTGAAAAGATCAACCTCATATGAATATATAAAAAAATTACTTTTGTTTTTAGCACATAATTGTAGAATGTTAGCTCTTCAACAATATTCGGGCAGTAGTGACGAAGATGATACAGACAAAAATAAAAGTAAAGACATTCCAGTAAATGCAACTGAAATTACCATTAATTCCGAGTTTTCCATTAAAAATAAGCTTGCCATTTGTGCCGCTCCAAATGTAGTGCCTACAGGTCTAGATGGAGAAAAAATGCATATACATCCTGATAGTGGAGAACTGACATATAATCCAAAGTATGATATATTATTTGCTCCTGTTGTAGGTCCAGCAAATCCCTTTAAAACGCAACAACAATCTGTTGAGAGAAACATGCTCTCTGGACATATTGAAAAAGCTCATGTAAGTGATTTTCAATTTGAAAACCAGAGAAGAACTTTTACGAGCTATGGTTATGCATTAGACCCATCGATTAGTAATGATGGCCATCTAAAAGTTGTTGGTTCAACTGATGAAGGCAAAGACGTAGAAAGTGTTAAGACTGTATTTGAAACTTCAAAGATAAGACCCTTGGATAAGAGGAAAAGAAAGAAAAATGATAATCCAGGTGATATAGAAGGATTTTTGGGACCATGGGGTGGTTTTGTTGATGAACAGAAAGTTTCTAGACCAACAGAGGAAGAACAGGCTGAGTTAGATGAAATAACTTCTAAAAAGAATAAGAAAGGTAATTTCAAACATTACAATTTGGATATATTTTATTTGAAATGTGTATGTATCTTTATTATGTGTCATTTTTTACTTATTGTTTTATTTCTACATCCTTTATTTGTTTTTTTTATTCCATCATTGTATTAGTTGTTTTTTCTCTGTATTTTGTTAATTTCATATTCTTTTATTTTTTGGTTGCTATTTTTTAATGTAATGTGAAAAAAACTCATATGTTTGATAAAAGTGACAATAGTGAAGATGCTATGAACAGTAAAAATTCAAAACGACTTGTCAACCCCATTTGAAATACATAGGGGGTTTAGGCAGGGAGATGCGCTGGCATGTCAGCTTTTTAATGTCTCCTTAGAAAAAGTTGTGCGAGACGCTAATTTAGATAGCAGGGGAACAATATTTAATAGATCAGTCCAAATTCTAGCATATGCAGACGATGTGGACATTATAACAAGAACCAGGACGGGAACTGCAGAAATCCTAACCAAGCTAGTAGCAGCAGCAGAACGAATGGGGTTACATATAACAAATTTGATCATCAATGACCAAAACTTCGAAGCAGTCAAAGAGTTATATATGTAGGGACATCAGTTAACCCTAATAATAACACATCTGAGGAAAAAGGTTGAATAATAATTGCAAACAGGTGTTATCATGGTCTATCAAAGTACTTTGAATGGAATGGGAGCAAAGGTGCTTCCATTCCAGATTTTGAAAACTGTGTCAGACACATTGACTCTGTAAACCTAATTCAAGTTGACACTATATCAGTTTTGATGAATTAAGAAAACTTCCAAAAAAATTCTCCTCCTGATGGAATCCCACTGGTATTATTAAAGCACTGTCCATGCTCTCTGCAGAGAAGAGTAGGATGCGAAAATATGGAGTTGATTCCAGTTTCCTCTACTTAGTCTCTTCTACCGACTCTCACCTTCACATTGGTATCCCCTGTTAAACTGAGCAACCCAACTGGAGATCTGGTATCCAACCCAGGTGGATGGTTGGGTCGGCAACTGACAACAGAGGGTGAACTGGTCCTCCAGGTTAGGGGTTTGGGCAGTGGGTTAACACCCCCCTCCTGTAAGAATTCTTCTGTTACGGAAACTTCAAAACAATCAGCCAGGTAGATTTTTTGTTGACAACTTGGCAAACGAAATAAGGTTAATAATACAGTTAATGATATTGGTTTATTTAGTTGGAATGTGCGTACACTTTATAGTGCAGGTAAACTAAGAAGTCTGTCCAATACACTTAATGAATATTCAGCAGACATTATAGCACTTCAAGAAATCAGATGGACAGGTAGTGCTAGCTTAGAAAAAAAAAGACTACACTCTCTACTACAGCGGAGATAAAAATAATCATATTTTTGGTGTGGGATTCATACTGAATAAACGACTGAAATCAGAAGTCATTGCTTTCGATCCAATAAATCCAAGGATATGTAGAATCTGAATTAAAGGCAGGTTCTTTAATTATAGCATTATCAATATCCATGCTCCCACTGAACATAAAGAAGGCGAGGAGAAGGACATATTTTACGAGAAACTGGAAAGCACTTACAGACAATGTCATAACAAAGACATAAAGATTATTCACAAGGAAAACAATTCCTGTAGCTGGCTGTATACCACGTATCACAAAAAAGAGGTTAGTCTTCGTAAGTGGGTATATTTATTTCTTCTTCTTCTTCTTCCAATGGCCCTACAGCCCAAATTGAGCCTTGGCCTCCTGTAACTTCTGCCTCCAACAAAGGCGATCCCGCGCCACTCGTCTCCAAGCCCTGACGTTCAGTAAGTTGTGCGCATCTGCTGTGACTTCGTTCTCCCATCTATTACGTGGTCTTCCCTTTGGTCTTCTGCCCTGCATTTTACCATCCAAGGCCTTTCTCGGCAATCTGTCGGCATCCATCCGTACCACATGACCAGCCCATCGAAGCCTTTGTATATTTATTATTAAAGCCTGGGTATATTTATTTAAAAACCCTTAAAAGGGCTACATCAAAAAAACAAACGTTTTCGGACTAAACAGTCCATCATCAGGTTTAAAATCGCTAGGTTAAAATGCCTGAGCCACCAAAAATACATGGGTAAAAACCCTTTAAATTACATATAGTTATAAAAGATTATACATCTTGTTGTTAAAAAACTGTGATGTTCAGTATTAAATTAAATATGACTTCAGGTAACATACATTGTAAAAATTGAGTTCCAGAGCCGGGGAGAAAACCTCTACGCACAGAGAACAGCTGGAAACTGTTCAGTTGTTGATTTGTTGTTGGTTTGTATGGACAATATGAAATGTTATGTATGGAAAAATATGAAAATGAATCAGGGAAAAGATTATTTTTGCCTAATATTCCTTTACAAAATTGCTAATAATTTGATAAATTGCTCTGAACTTTTAAATCGATTAGGTCTTCATGGAAGCACTCTTCATGGAACTAGGCATACTTCATTCTTTCATCTACCATTTGATCAATTTAATTATTAATACTCCAAGCCTCTTACTCATATGGTGAGTGATGAATATGGGGGCGTAGATATAACTTTGAACTTCAAAATATCTACAAGCATATGTTTGGTGGTAAAGATATTACCACTATAATTAAGCGAAACCGCCTGCAGTGGGCAGGACATGTAGCCTGGGCCCCTGAATCGAACATGGTAAAAAAAGATTCTAACAGCGCAACCCGTGGGAATGAGAAGACGGGGTAGACCAAAGCTGAGGTGGATGGATGGGGTAACACAAGATGCAGAGAAGATCGGAGTCGTCAACTGGAAAATGCAAGAAAGGGACAGAACAGAATGGCGTAAAAAGCTTGAGAAGGTTGAAGCCCTCTAAGGGCTGTAGCACCAAGATGATGATGATGATGATGATGATTTTTTAATGTTTCATATTTATGACATTTTGTATTTACATTTGTTCTGCAATATCTGATTTTCAGTTTCATATTATAATTATCACCATAGTTTTAAATTATTATTTATACTTCTCACTATTAGAGTAAATATAGTTAAAAATATTGGCATCAAAATACTATAACTCTTGTTTGAGTGCTGTTAAGTCTTACATCAAGTGTAAATTAAAGAAATACCAGAGTATGGCTTATAAATATTGTCAGGGATTTGATGTAACAAGATTAACTATTTTCAAAGATCTGCAAGACTTATAGTAAGATTTAGTAGATCTATAATGTTTTATTCCTTTTAAGAACATGTGTAATAGTTTTGTTACATATTCAGCATATTTCCATTCCACCATCACTACAGTTTTAATGAAGTCTGTTATGCATTTATTACATGTATTAGTTATTTATATGTCATTAGATTTGATGGTGAAAAACATGCTGTTTAACAAAAAAATTAACTTTTAGGTAAACCAACAGAGGACAAACCAATTGAGGAAAAGTCTGTATTGCATATCAAAGATCCAGTGGACTATCAAGGAAGGTCTTTTTTGCATGCTCCACAAGATGTTGGAGTTAATCTCAAATCTGATACACCTCCTGAGAAGTGTTTTTTACCCAAATCTCATATTCATACATGGACTGGTAAGTTATATTGTTATTATTAGAATTCAATGAGCAGAATGATTAAGAGTGTAAGTATCTAAGAACTGGTTTAACTTATTAGGTTATTTAATGTTGTTTTGAAAATATAAAACTGATGGTGTTTTATGTTTAAATTTTTAATGATATGATCCTACTGATTTTTTTATATTTCTGGAATGTTACTCCAGTAACAACTATATCTATGAGATAAATCCAGTTGTAGAATATAAATATAGAAATATACTTTTGATCCAACTGAAACTGCTTTAGGTTTTGCAGTATAATTACTAATTCGAAATAAAACCACAAAATTGTAAAAAAATATTGGATGCTTTTGAATATCTCCATCATCCTCAGCTATAATTAAAAATTTAGTAGACAGAAGATTATTTAATGTAAAAATTGGCAACTTACGGAGTATAATTAAAATAACTACACTAGGTTGTCAGCGCTACAGAAGATGATTTTTAAAAAGGACTCCAAACATCCAATTGTGCTCTTCTGGATACCATGTTGGAGAGATAGCATGGGGCCAGAATTTGTAATATGTGTCACTATTGTCATACCTACTATCATTGACATTAAAACTATTCAGCTATACAATCAGTAATTAATCTTTAAAGGGTTATGGAAATTTCTGTAAAATCTAATGGATGTTAACAATATGTTAGATAACTACAAAATCGGTTAAAACCAGAGTTTTTTTGAAAGAGAATTTAATTGTAGACTAAGATGGCAATCAACCTTACTTTTGAAATTAATAAGGGAAATTTGAAAAAGTTTTGTCCCAATCATAGGCCTAATAAAGAGCAAATATTAGTAGCTATTATTATAATTCTTGAAAAGTAACTCTCTACTTAAATAGTTGTATGCATTCCTCTAGGGGAATACTAGGGAATAAATTGGTAACATCTAATGACAAAAGTATTGAATTAGAGGGAATATCTACTTTATTAATCTAATTTGCTAAGTTAACTGAATTAAATACTGCAAAGGGGTTGTGGAGATTGGTAAGAAGTTTGATGTTAGTATTAATAAATGATGCTAGTTTGCTGAGTTGTTCTAAGATTTAGGCTGAGGTCTCTACAATGTAATATTTGTTTCATATTATTGAATGCACTTCTAGCCTTTTCTATTCTAATTTCTTTGGTATAATTGTTTGTTTCATTAATGTTTGCCCCTAAATAGTTATAATTCTAAACTTGTTCTATTGTCTTATTATTTATGTGTAGATTGATGTATCTAATATTTTTCTTTGATATAACCATTAATTTTGTTTTCTTTATGTTTAGTGACAGATCAAATTCTTCACTCGCTGCAACAACCTTATCTAAAATTCTTTGTAGATCTGTAATATTTTCCACTATTAATATTGTATCATCAACATATCTAATTTCACGTATGGGTAGGCCATTTATTTTTATGCTCTGACTATGCATTAAAAAGTGATGGCGACAAGACACAGCCCTGTCTAACACCTCTTTTGATTTTTATTTTATTAGTTTTTAAATTATTAATTCTTATTCTTCTTGTTCATAATACAGATTATCTATTATTCTCTTATCCCGTGTGTCAATGTTCTTTGTTCTCAGTAGTTTTCCAACATTGTTCTTAGCAATATTAGAATATGCTTTTAAAACATTTAGCTGGGAAGACAAATGAATCATCATTGAAGCAACAACATCAAGATTGAGCCAAAAGAAATTGAGAACTCACTCACTTTACATATTTGGGACATGAAGTGAAAATCACAAGAGGTAATTAGATATGTGAGTTACAAAGAAGAATATCTTTGAGCTGGGCTGCCTACAGCAAATTAAGATTTATTTTTAAATTGCAATTCATATCTTTCTAGTTATTACAGATGGAGTCAAAACTCTTACCCTTACCAAAAAACAGCTAGACAGTTAAAAATATCACAAAAGAAAACGCCCTAGTCTGACTGTAGACGCAAACAATGGCTGAATGATTATGATGAATTAACTTACTCCTATGTCTGATCCACATTCTTATTATCTGACTTTTTAATTTGGCCTCAATTACAAAATAATTTGTTACACATTGTAATATAGGCTCTGATATTTTGATAATTTTGTATAATTTGTAACACTATTATATTCTATTAGCTATAATTATTATTTATATTTTTGAATGAACTGCAGTATCCACTGTCATATATTGTATTTTAAAATAATCAAACCATCTAATAAATGATTATGCTATAAAAAACTATTGTATCATGGAACTTATAGTCTATATCTATATAATATTTTATACTAATCATCATGTCAAAAAACTATTAAGATAGGTAGTCAAGTTTGATGTTTTTTTCTGTTATAGGGCACTCCAAAGGTGTTGCAGCCATCAGATGGTTTCCCAGAACAGCACATTTGTTCCTGTCTGCTAGTATGGATTGTAGGATTAAGATTTGGGAAGTTTATAATGAGAGAAGATGTATTAGAACTTACTATGGCCATAGACAAGCTGTGAGAGATATTAACTTTAATAATTCTGGAAAGCTTTTCCTTTCGGCTGGATATGACAGGTACTTTTTTAGTATAATAATAATCTCCCTTATACTAGACCTTACTTAAGATCTTACTTAAAAACTAGAAGAACTTAGAAATATATCAGGTAGTTTGCTATTTCTTGTTCCTAAAGTATACAAGGAAAGTAATACTGCCAGTGCTATGCTTTAATCATTACTATCTCTGGTTTGATTCCCATTTTGTTAGTTAATCTACCATTTTGAGTTATTTGGACAAAGCACATACTTTTATTAAAAGAAATGTAATTCTTTTTTCACAACAATAATAAGAAAATTTCATATATTTTTTTGGAACACAACTGCCTATGACGTCTCTGGGTTTAATGTGATTTTACATTGAAAGCACCAATCTTCCAACTAGGGATGTGTAGTTCACTATCGAAATAGTTCAAATGAACGATTCTTTCAACTGAACTAATTGAACTAGTTCATTAAATTTCATAGAACTAGTTCACTGCGAACGATCTGCATTATAAATTGTGTCTCAACTTCTAAAGAAGAAAATAATGAATGAATGAGGTCATATATTTCTAATGGAACGGGTCGACTTACATAGTCCCTGATAGAAACAAGGGGAGTAGGAGCAGGCTTTTAGAATATTAAGAATTATAACTGCTTTCTCTTCATCTTCCCCTGCTTGTCCTACTAGCGAAACTGATTTTGACGTTGAAAGTTGAGGTTCTTAAAATGTATTTTCTGATTTTTCGGGTTCTTTTTCTATGTATCTTTCAACATTGAGATATTTGAGATTGATAGCTGGGTGTTTCATTCTTAAATGTCTTGATAAATTGCCTAGTGAACCATTTGCAATACTAACATCATATGAACGGTAATTACATTTTGCAGATTTTTGATTTTTATCGTTTTTCTCGAAATGATCCCACAAAAAACTTCTATTTCGTCTGTTCCTCATCTTTAGGGATTGATTAAGAAAATAAATTATTATAAGGAAAAACTAACTAATCATATAATAATTTAAAACATTTAAACCTAAACATACGATCGAAAGAAATGGTTCCAAATCCGAACTACTTGTACGCCGTACGGTAGTGAAAGACTGACTGAAATCCGAAGAAAACGGGCTGCCGGTGCCGAGCTTGTGTGATGATTGAGACGAGACATCTGGCAACCAGTTATGTTAGGGTTGGATTTCGATTTCGGTCCTACAAATAGTTCTTTCGCGAACTAGTTAATTTTTGTGCAATAGTTCTCTTGAACTAGTTCGTCTATAAAAACTAATAAGCACACCTCTACTTCCAAATGATTTATAGCATCTTGTAGGTATATTCTTCGCTGCTATTGCTAGGGCATCAGCATACAGACTAAGCAATGTGCAGGGGTGGTTGGTGTGTCGTTTTGAATGCTGAACTTCCTATTGGCTAGATACAACGAAAGAAGGCATTACCTTGCTGTATTTAAGTTTGCTCATTATCTTCTTTATCATCTATCAACTTATCGTCTGATATGTTGCCTCATGGAGGGAAATAAATTTCTGAGCTACAGTTTACAGTTATACTTCCTCATATTCTGTCTTAGAGGAATTATTGTCCATTGCAAAAGAAGTTACTATAAGCTCTATTTGGCGTTAATAATATGATTAAGTTGTAGCAGTTTTCAGTCCTCGACTTAATATAGAAAATAATTGTATTTTGGAAATTGTTTAACTGGTTGCATACCTAGTAAATAGTATATTCGTAACCTTCTGTAAATGATAACAAAAAAGAAGACGACGTTGACTTGACAGAAGGAGGCGGATGACGTATTTCCGGAAGGGAGCGAAATTGGACGGCGGACGCTAGCTGGTGAAGTACAGAGGATGGTGGTGTGACAAAAAAAATATAGAAATTTCGATTTTATCTTGGCCATCAGTGCCGATTTTTGAAAAATAAATAAGTAATGTGCCTTACCGAATTATTTAAGTTATTCGTTATAAAGTTTATTTGTGTGATTACAAATAGTTCACGTGTTGTAAGTTTTTGTGAATAAAATTGGAGATATTTCAGTTATCCACAGTTAATTCACAACAAAAACATATACTGTTTTGCTGTTAGTACATTTCGAGAGTCCATAGTGGTTCAATAACGAGAATAGCAGATGTATCAGGGTTGTTTCTTTTGCCAAGCGACTTCTGATTGGGTGTTGTCTTGCTGGATAATAGTTCGTGGGGATTATTAACGCTCCGGAACGAAGGTAACAGCTTTATTTATTACCTTTATACTCCAGGCAGAGATCAAGTAATTGAGGAACTTTTCCAACATAGTTATATGTGAGCTCTGTAGTTTTAAAATAATTATTGTCAATTTTCGTAGTTAAGTATTATTAGTAAATAAATATTAAAGATCTGTTGAGCTCAGCATTCTTGTTTTAATATGACAGGCAATGCTCAATAAATAAATCTATGGTTAATTTGTTATTGTTGAATAAATATTGTGTTTCCTCATATTAGACACGCATTTATTACACTTGCCTTCGTATTAATATTTTATTTTCGTATACGACATAAAACTTACGTACTGACGATATTTTCTTTCCTTTTAACTTTTCTTGTTTTTTTTTTAAAAAATCGGCACTGATGGCCAAGATAAAATCGAAATTTCTATATTTTTTTTGTCACACCACCATCCTCTGTACTTCACCAGCTAGCGTCCGCCGTCCAATTTCGCTCCCTTCCGGAAATACGTCATCCGCCTCCTTCTGTCAAGTCAACGTCGTCTTCTTTTTTGTTATCATTTACAGAAGGTTACGAATATACTATTTACTAGGTATGCAACCAGTTAAACAATTTCCAAAATACAATTATTTTCTATATTAAGTCGAGGACTGAAAACTGCTACAAAGTTCCTACATGTTCTTTTCAATCTCCATAACATGATTAATAGATTTTTTCAATTTTCTGTAGTATATATATATATATATATATATATATATATATATATATATATTATATATATATATATATATATATATATTACTTCTAATCTTGTTTTATGCAAAAGATTAGTCAGATCCGAGGATTAGATATTTGAATTATTTCGAGCAATGTTTCATTTGATTTGACCTTAGATCAAATTTATTGGGTTAAGCTCACAATGATAGGTGGTAGGCGAAGTATTTCAATACCTTGTTTTATGGCTATCTCCTCATTAACATATTTTTATATTCTGTTTATAGATGTTGGCAATATTTAATAATTCTGATTTTGTTGAATTGTTGTTGAATTGCTCTTGAATTGACTGAAGCCTAAACCGGCAACAGAAAGGTTGCCAAGTCATATTTTATTTCTTCAGTAGATTGAGAATAATGGATATTATATCAATAAATAGATTTTTTTTAAAATTTATAATTGAACACTGACATAATAATCACTTTTTAAACATGATTTTATCGTTACATGTTTTTTAGTAAATCGATATATTGTTTCAGTAAATCATTAAATTGAAGTTGGAATAAGTAGATCTACTGAAAAATCAGTAGACCTGGTAACCCTGCGAGAGGTAGTAATGAGCAATTTACAGGCACCAAAACATGGCGGTCACATCGAAACTGGCTTCACTTTTCGAGGATTTATTAAATGAGTGTTACTTGTCCTCTCTCTTTCCTTGCCTTAGACTGAAACAAGATCACATATGTGTCTAGTGTTATGATCGTGCACCTATTCATGGGTCCCAAAGCGCCCCTCACTCCTCTTGACAAACATAAGGTTCTCAGAGATATACAAGAAGTAAGTAAGAATTCCCAGAGTCTCATAGGCCAATCTGCAATTGTCTCTAAACCCAAGGCCTGCAAGAAGTCTTATAGCCTTATGTTGCAAACCAAAAACTTTCGGTATTCAATGTGGATACTCTACAAGTTCCTTAGAAATTAACCACATGGCAATTTCATTTTCTTCTTCTTCCATTGCATAGCTGGTAAATATTCATCTGATCTGGAGTGGTAACTTGAATTGTCCATTACAATATTCGTCAAAATATTCTTCAAACAAAAATAAACCTTCCTGTAGATATCCATTTACACTACCGATATGAATAATTGGGTTGAGTTTACCGAAAGTACAAGCTGAATATAGCCGCAAGTGTCAAAAATATTTGGCTTTGGCAGTGTTGGGATGTTTTTATAATGCATATATTATATGTTTCAAATATAAAGAGAGAAATCTTTTAAAAAGTACATTTTGATTACACTATTTTATGAATTCTGCATTTTTAATTTATATAAAGGAATAACGAGTAAATGTTTGTCTCTTTCGAGATTAATTGCAAACATTTGGCAACTGCTAAATCTATCCCCTAATCTATCAAAGGGTAATTGCCAAAATAATTTCTAATAATTAACTGCAATTAATCTCCAAACAAACAAATATTTACTCATTCTTGTTTTATGTAAATCAAAAATTGTAGAATTTATAACATTTTTATTTATAGATTTTTTATAACATAATGTAAACAAAATGTACTTTTCTAAAGCCTTATCTTTTTATATTTGAAGCATACAGCATCTACATTATAAAAACATGCCAACACTGCTATACCGAAATTTTTTGTTCTATGTTTGACATTTGCGGCTATAATCAGCTTGTACATACTTTCGGTAAACTCAACCGATAATTGAATATCTTCATAGAAGTCATGATACTATGACTAACAAGATAGGACCTTCCCCTAGCACAAAATCGGTCGTGTTCGTGCATGCCGTCATTGGAGAGTAGAATTTGAATTCTTATTGAAGTTAAATGGGATTTGTATGCATTCTGTGATGAAATTACTAGACGAAAATAAGTTAAGAGGTTTAATAATTACAATAATTGTACACATAAGGATATCTCCAAACTATTTATTAAAGATTATTTATTAATTATCTTCTTTGCGTGCCATATCAGAACTATCCGACGTTGGCGATCACCATTGCGAAGGCTTCTCGATCTTCTGCAATATTTATTATTTATATTTATTGATACATACAAAAAACTGACATTTTGAATGTGCAACTCTCCAATAACGTCACGACTTATGCGCAATATCTTATCTTCTTAGTCATAGTATCATGATAGAAGTGTCAAAAGCTGCTTTTATGTTTTTGTTTTTCCAAACTGTTCCTTTCTCTCATTAATCCATATTGCAATAAATATTCTTGCTTTCTGTCTTATGTTTTCTTTTATTTTTCGTAGATACTCTCATGTCCAACATACAATTTTTTTAAAGCATTTCATAAGCGTTGACTCTGTCATATTTTTTCATATTTGAAGTTTAATTCAAGTAAAACTTTCTAAGATTTAAGGTAATTCAAGTAAAGTTTGGTTCTGCTTATCTTGAGCAAATCAGGATCGTCGGTAATAGCTTGTAAATTTAAACAATTTAGGAGGCTAATATTGAAGAAGCAACAGGCGTTAAAGCTTACATACAAGAAGGAAGAAGATGAAGAAAGCATCAATACAAATACTTTTTATTGTTACAATAAGAAATTCTGCTTGACTTTATCATTACATAAATGAGTAGTACTTAGGGGACGTTTAAGTATTACATAACGCAGTTTTTGAAGATTTTTGACCCCCCCTCCAACATATGTAACGCATCGTAATGTTTTACAAGACCCCCCCCTAACTAAACGTTCTGTAACACCCAAGTAACCATTTTTACCTAAAAGTAACAATTATGTTACGAAAATTACCGGAAAGTCGGTAAAATAACTTTGTTATTGTTTAATCGTATTTGCGATAATAGTAAATAAAACAAGTGATTTCTTACTCGCAATAATAAAATTTTAGTGCTAATCTTACAATTTTTTTACGTTTTACCTACTCCTTTTTACATGCATGTTTGTCTTCATCCCTTATGGTTTTTCTCATGCATTCTTCTATTTTAACTTTTTTTCAATAATCAATTCATTAACTATTAATCGATGAAAGGCACATAAATATCTTTACGTTGGTCACGGCATTTTTGGAGGAATACATTTAAGCGAAAAAGTGCCTCACTGGTACCCAGCGCATTCCTAAATCCAATTTGGGTTTCATCTAGGTCTATTTCGTAATGAGTAATGCGAAGAAAAAACTTTTCAATGTGTGAATCATCAGACTAATTAATCTGTATTCGACGCATCTTTTTACACGCCGTTTCGTCGAAATTGCTGCGATGAAATAAAAACATACTTTAACATTTCCTCAGTTATTTTAACCAGTAGTATATACAGCATTAAAATGCTTAACTGGAGGATTGATGTGGTCCTCTTATATAATTTTTAACAGTTCTGCTGTTATTTAGGGTGTTATTTAGAGTGTCAGTAAATAAAAAGTTAACTTTCTAAAAGAACATGAAGAAGAAGCAGAGGTGTTGTCTGGTCCAGTTGCTTTCTTGGTTTTAACTGATTTTATTATACAAAGAAATTCAGATTTTAAGACTTAAAACTTTAATTTTTTTTATGTCATTACAGTATGCATTCAATTTAATAACACTGACTACGGCAACGTGTTTCTGTGTATTACTGACAACGAAAACAAAATCAAAAGGACGAACAATACAGTCGAAGAATTTCTCGTAAAACATAAATAAGAGGAACAACATAACAATATTGTACAATACAATCGAGGGAGTTCAAGCAAAACATAAACGAAAAGGATTTGTAGCTTGAGAGATAAAACAATGTTACGTAACGCGTTGTTAGAACCCCTCCTCCCACTCCTTTAACGTATCGTAACGTTTTACAACACCTCCTTCCCCCTAATATCGTTATGTAATACTTGAACGATCACTTAATGGTTTTTAGTTTCAAAATTAAATATTTTTGAAGTTATACTTCTATACGCACGATCGGCATTGGAAATTTGCATGGGAGTGAATCTGTGAAACCATTACATATGTAAGATAATGATCAGAGAGAGACAGAAGATATATTTTCTCTCTCTTCCTCTCTCGAAAGTAAAAATGTTCCTTTTCTTCATCTAATTATATATATATATATATATATATATATATTATATATATATATATATATATATATATATATATATATATATATATATATATATATATAATTATATAATAGGCAGTCCCACTGAACTGCCACACCCGTTTTTTATTTATTTATATTTTAATCAATTTTCAGGTACATTAAACTTTGGGACACAGAAACTGGACAAGTTGTTTCAAGATTCACTAGTCGAAAAATTCCATACTGTGTTAAATTTAACCCAGATAAAAATAAGCAGCATTTATTTGTTGCTGGTACATCCGACAAGAAAATTATCTGTTGGGATACTAGGTAAGTTAAGTTGTTAAAGTTATGTAATACTTTTGGGTGCCAAAAGTGTAACAAGCAACCCATATTATTATGCTCATTTGCAATAGATCAGCTTCCAGAGATTTCTGCATATTCTTATATGAGATAATCACTTACAAACATATACTAGACAAAATATGTGATTTGTTAGCATTTCTGGTTTAAAAAGAATAAAAATCAGATGGTTAAAAGTTGGCTCATCCGGGATTATGATCATGGGCCCTATCCGGGAGCAGAATGGGGAATACAAAATCCGCTTGAATTTTTAGCCTGTTAATTAAGCACGCTGATATAGTAAAGTTTGTTAAATCTAATAAAAATCGTGTGCTTGACCACTTGCCGAATAAGCAATGAAAGAAATACAAAAAATATCACCGAATGGAGGCTCTAGAAAGCGTTGGTTAGAGAGTGTCCAAAATGATTAGAATAGTGCTATCTGCTGAAATCTGATATTGTTGATACTTCTGTGATTTTTGAAATTGCCTTGCTCCTCTTTGTATGTCTACATCCTCAGATGAAACAGGGAGTAATAATGTATTAATCGCAATAAATTTTAACCAAATCAGAGAGAAGAGGACCAAGTTACCTCAGAACAGGATAATACGCGAAAGCCTAACCTATAATGCAAAGGGATTGAATGACGACGATGTTGATGAATTTATTAATACAAGACACGGGTCCTCAAAGCCCACACTCTTTCAGAATCTTCTGAATGTGGGTGTAGAATTTGAATTGTTTTTCTGCTTCTCCCATGAGCCATCTCTTTTGAGGCCTTCGATTATCAGGGCACATTAATCGCTTTCATAGGGTCGATGGATGGATTATAGTATAAATTTCTTCCTTTTTTAACACCCACATATTTATTGGTATTATATAACTTTTATTGCGGATACATGTTTTAAAGAAACAATGGTATTCTTTCAAAATCAAAACGTGACTGGTTCTCCCTCGTTTTTATTGAGTATAGAATATAATCATTGTTGCGAGAACAGTCAAACATCTTCCTTCTGTTGTCTATAATACAGTCAACTATCTTGCTCTAACTACCAATCATTTAAAGGATAAATTATTTAAAATAGGATAGATAAAGAAAAAGTAGATACATTTATTATTACATATATATTCACATTCTTTTTTTTTATCAAAAATTTGGTTTTTTCTAAGACATCTTTTATTCGAAGTACAAATATGTAGTCATTAACTTTCTTAGTACTTTTGACCATTGCGTATTAATGTCTACTTTAAACTTAGGTCTGGTGACATCGTTCAGGAATATGATAGACATTTGGGAGCCGTCAACAGCATTACTTTTGTAGACGAAAACCGAAGGTTTGTTACTACCTCAGATGATAAGTCTTTAAGGGTATGGGAATGGGATATACCTGTCGACATGAAATACATTGCAGATCCTACAATGCACAGCATGCCAGCGGTCACACCAGCACCTAATGGTAAGTTATTTTTTATTGTTTTAGATTTTAATTATTCCTATTCGAAAAGTCATTATTGCCGATCTCTAAAACAAGCATTTTAGCTACATTTATATAATACATTTTAAAAAATAATCTTAAAACTAATCACATAATTTTAAAACATTGTTTATTTTAAGTATAGGGATTTCATTGGGAATCTTAGACTTAGGTCTAAGCTTCCAATGTGTCTGAAAAGAAAAGTATTTAATTAGTGTATTTTGCCAGTGATGACCTACGGCACAGAAACCCTAACACTCACAAGAACAACAGTGAGTAAACTACAAGTTGCGGAAAGAGCAATGGAGAGAATAATGTTAGGGATTTCTCTACGTGATAGGATACCCAATGCTACTATACGCAAAAAATCAGGAGTAGCAGACGTTATTGAAAGGATAACAAAACTAAAGTGGTACTGGGCAGGTCATGTAGCAAGATCAGTTGACCGGTGGACAAAAATAATTTTAGAATGGAGACCCCGAATACAAGCTTACAGAAATAGAGTTCGACCCCGAACGAGATGGACAGATGACATAAAAAGAGTGACTACAGGATTCAGATGGGGCAAAATCGGATTAAGTGGAAAAGAATGCGAGATGCCTACGTTCAGCAGTGGACGTTAGAGGCTAGTTGCTGATGATTTCATTGGGAGGTTACCTAAAATGTAACGATTTAGCTGTATTATGTCATCTACACAATACCGTAATATACTAATTTGGCCATTTTAAGTAACTCAACAAATTGGAATATTTTTTCGTGTCAATATTTATTGCACGTTTGCTAAATGGCATTTCTCCAGTCGCTTATTACTTTAATGGTCCAGGCTTTATCTGTTTGGAATTGGACATTTTCCATGGGAGTCTATTTTTTGCTGAAATCACTTCAGTAGGTACCTTATGTCAATAATCACGATATGCGCCAGTTGCAAATCTTGTGCTTAATTTTTTATTTAACAAAATCTGAAAAAAATCGAAAATTTTTGCTTTTTGCTCCCATATTTTCGCGTATAACTGGAGAGATATTGCTCTTATTGGCGACGTGCAAGTACTTGGATGTGATACGAAAAACGATCGTGCGCGAGTAGCGGAGAAATCTTGCATTTTTTACTGCATATTTCATAGATTTCATAAATTCATATTGTCAATTGGCAAATTGTCATATTTCATATTCGTTTATTTATTTATACCTTCTCTCACTGAAGAAAATGGGATTTAGTAATTGCTGTATTATAAATTGTAAAAATACAACAAAAAATTGTTGAAAAGTTATTTGGTGATTTACTTTCTCAAATCCAGTTTTTATTATTGCATCCATATTAACAGTAATGCTGTAATTTAATATATTTATTTGTATTTACACTATATACAACGTTTACCTTTTAATAACATACCGACATAACCTCAATCTTACTTTTTTTTCTTATTCTTTTTTTGGGGCTACGTCCTTGACAGTTATCCGGTAACCTCGATCTAACATGAAAGCGCAGTAAATTTTGCTGATTTACGACACCAGGTGTCGCTCTTCCGAACTTGCACGGTCCCAATAAAAAAAATATTCATAGTAAAACTTTCGTTTTTCAATTTTACATAATTTTTGACTAGCTAGAAATTTAAAATTATGTTTATTGTTTAAAAATAACAATTATTGGATAAAAGTGCCAAAAATGGAGTTTTTCTTTTAATTTTTTTTTGCCCTTTAGACACTACTTACAGTCTTTATATTCCGCATAGAAAAACTTTATAATACGGCTAAAACGTCTGCTAAATTAAATTTTGTTAGGATGGGTTTAATAATAATAATTAATGGGCCCTCAAAAAAAAATCAAATTTGCAAAATTATTTTGGCTCAAAATAACCACTTTAAATCGTCAAACAAAATTACATAAGAAAGGCTTAAGCTTTCAAATGCACTTTGAAAATTTTTAATCGATCAACTGGGAGAGCCCAGCCTTATTAAAGTTATTAAAAAAATGGCACTTAGGGAGGGCCGACGGAAGTGAATACTTCTTATAGGTAATTACTACTATATGCAAGTTAACGAAATTTTATGTCTGCTTATTACTGAATTAAAACGTTTTATGTAAACAATAAATGGTTTATGTTTATTTTGCCGAACATTACTCTACATTATCTCGCCATCTCAAGAAAAGTATACATTTCTCTAACTCCTTCTCCCATTGTGCATTAGTTTCTTTTGTAGGTGATCTTATTACATGTTATATCTATTCTACTCATTTTACTCTTATTCGTGTTTTCTTTTTCTGTTTGCTCATCTTTTATTCTCTCATTGTTTAAACACTTAAATGACCCTTATACAATCCGATTGGTAGAATAATTTATTCTTTTGAACTTTACCTTCTATCCAGAATGTCTCGTATGAAATTAGTCTTTTTGCCCATTGCTTTCGTTCTTTGTTTCTTTATTCTCATCACATGACTAAAATATTTGCCAATTTCAAGTTTTTTGCCTTTATTTTCTTCTTGCTGAAAGTTGAAGCATACTAGAAATACTGGGCTCTTATTATAAACAGGAAGGATTCTATTAAAATGAAATGATGTGAGTAAGGGTTGTTAATTACTTGCACTTCAGAATATGTATTGTTTGGAACTTAGTAAAGATCATATTTAGATATACTGCAGACGCAGAGCTGCTACATATCATGTCATAGAAACATTAGAACTTATTCTGAGAGGAGACCTTAGAGTATTATCTTTCCCCTTGTTCTTGTCTATGTTACTGATTTTGTATTGTAACGGAAAAGCTTACTTAGACGTACCCCATATAACGGTTGCATCTTGCGTGTTCGAGAACCTTCAAGATGGTGATCCCTAGGCAGTGGCGGCTCGTGGCTCGAGAGACAAGGTCGGCAAGGTATTTTTTGTCTCCTCAGATAGGTATACCGTCTAATAAAGACTTCAATTATCATAGGAGATTTTCTGTTTTCTTGGTTTTTGTTTTATCCTATAAATTTAGAACCTAAACATGTTTATAAATTAACTCTATTCTACGTTGTTTGGAAGTAGCAAAATGGGTAATAACGTCATCGTAAAATTTATTAGTTTTGGAGAGATTTTTAAAGTTTTTTTTCTATTGACATTTGAGACAAGCTTGACATTCTCTCTTATTTCATGGTATTTCGATAATACGTTTTGATTCTTTTGAGGCAAGAGAAATCTCGTTCATTTGAGGCAGACGTTGGTGGTAATGAGAGAATTAATGACAATAATTTATTAATTTCGGTAACAGTTGGTTGTAATGAATTAAACATATCTTGTAACTTATCCCATCTTCCGAAAATATTTGGATCAGAGTATAAAACTTTTAATTCATTTTCTACTTTTATTTTATTAAAGAATGATGGACAATTTTTAATTAACCTGTCTAATAAATATCTTGGAAATTCTTTGGCGTAACTTTTAAATTTTAAAATGTCAAAGAGGTTAAAAATTTGCAAATCTTCAAAATTCGAAAAACGAGTATCTATTTGCATAATAATAGTATCCAAAATTTCAAAATATACTCGTTTTTCAAGATCTGTTTCTGTGTCATGCCTTTGTCTTTTTTTGGGAGTTCGGAAATATCAAGCGAGTCCAAAACGTCACTGCGTATATACTGGAAATTACTATTATTACGAAAATCTCTGAGATTTTGCACCAGTCTTGTTATTCTATTTTTGGAATGAATAATGCCAGTTAACTGATTTTGAACAACATTGAATATCAAATCGGTTTGGGTAAACACTTTCTTAAAAATATTTAAAAGTATGTTAAAAGAGTAATCATTTAATAAAGTTTTCAAACCGATTGCTTCACGGATCGAGATATCATCACTTTCAAAATCGTCACTTTCAATAATAAAATCAAAAACTTCCAAAAGCTGTTTACGAAAATCTGCAGAGTGAAAAACTCAGTAGTAGTTCACTACAGTGAAAACTAACCGAGATTTAAAATTCCATCGCGTCTGGGAAACTGTTGGTATTTTTTTTTCGAAACAAACCGTTCTAAAACATTAGTCCGTTTAGGCGAGCTTGAGAAAAATGAAGCAAATCCGCTTAAACTGGCAAAAAAGGACGACATTGTTTAATTTTTTTACATGTATCCTGCAAAACTAAATTCATTCTATGCGCATGACAGTGAGTAAATAAAGCTTGCGGTGCAATAGTTTTAACTTTTGCCTGGAGACCATTTAATTCACTTGACATCACGGCAGCGCCGTCATAAGTTTGCCCTACCAATTTATTTTTGATATCAAAAAATTTTAATCTGTCCTTTAAAACAATAAAAATATTTTCTGTCTTATGGCTTTTACTCACGTCTATAAAACCTAAAAACCTCTCATAGATATTACCAGGTAACGCGTATCGAACAACAATTGATAATTGTGAATGACATGATATGTCAGTAGTTTCATCTACTTTTAGTGAAAAGCAGTTGGTTTCCTGAATCTCAGATTCAATAACGTTACTCAAAATGTAACTAATTGATTCTATTAATTCATTCTGGATTGTTTTAGATACACCGCTAAATGTCTTCGAATCAGAAAGTAAATTCGAAAATTCCAAATCGTATTTCTTAAACATTTTTATTACTTCTCTATAATTACCTTGATTTAACGAATGCTCCGATTCATCGTGTCCCCTAAAAAATAATTCCTGACAACTTAAAAAAGTTACAATATCACTTAAACGACGTAAAACTGCGTGATTATTTTTTACAATTTCGTTATGTTTAATAGCATTTTCACGTTGGGCATTATCTAATGAAACATAGATATTTTGTTTTCCAAATAAATCTAATTTGATCTGGCTGTAAGTATGATCTTTCGAAATATCATGTTTATGTAAAGCCCTAAATAATTCCTTTAAATTGTCGTAACCAGATTCACACCACAGATTTTGATGTTTGCCCCTATTTGTCGAAAATAAAATGCAAGGCCAACAGAAAAGTTTGTTTTTTATTTCACTCCCGGTAAGCCATAAGTACTTGCTGTAACAATTATCTGAAAATGATATTACTTCCCTTACCCGCACTAATATTTATAAGCCAGGACATTTTAAGCAAAGGACGCCCCTTATTTTTAATAACAATTTGTTCTTCGTATGGAATAGATGAAAACCCATTATGAAAAATATAATTTACAATATCAGACTTATCAATATTTACACTTTAATTAAAAAAAAAACATCCAATGTGTCAAAAAGCCCTTTAACCTTTAACTATTTACGGCAGACGTAACGTATCACAGTATTACTTTATAAAATAAAAATAAATCACAAATAGAAAGGCTAGTTCGTGCACTGAATATCACTTCACTTTACTACTTACGTTCTTATATGAAATACCATTTCATCCCGTTCTCGCAATGTACAGTTCACGACCAATCACCAATCCAAATGAAACATCGGCAAATTTAAATTCGCCGTACTTGGTAATTAAGTTCATATGGAAAGAAATGTATATTTGGTTGCTAATCAACTAATATCAAATCAAACTAATAACAAGTCAGTTTACTGACTTGTTTACAATATCGAATGGTAACGTACCGTACATATAGACAATAACTATTAACTAGCGACCTACACTATCGTTGTGAAACACTTTTCTAATATGCTTATCATAAATGACCGTATTTCTAATTCTCTACTCTCTCTCCTTCTATATATAAAATATTAAACGTTTATCGTTATAAATACGAATTTTGCGTTTTAATACTTAAAGGTTAAAACCCGACTACAGGATGTCTTTGAAGTTAAAATGATATCTTGTAATCATGCGTATAACAATATTTTTTATTTTTTAGGGAAGTGGCTGGCGTGTCAAAGTATGGACAATAAGATTGTGATTTTCTCAGCCATGAATCGTTTTAAAATCAACCGAAAAAAGACTTTCACCGGTCATATGGTAGCAGGTTACGCATGCTCGTTAGATTATTCTCCAGATATGAGTTATTTAGTGTCCGGTGACGCTGATGGAAAGGTATACGTCTGGGATTGGAAAACAACAAAATTGTACAAAAAATGGAAAGCCCATGATAACGTTTGCATCAGTGTATTATGGCATCCACATGAAGCGAGCAAGATGATATCGGCAGGCTGGGATGGCGTTATTAAATTTTGGGATTAACATGTATTTTTGTATGCAGAACAATTTTATTAAATGTTATTTATTTTCTTCTTGGTTTTTTTCAGTACTAAATCCGACGTCTAAATGCTAAACCGTACATTTCCATTAAATCGAATTTGAAGTAAGCCTTAAAAAACTGAGAAACTTTATCTTTGTTTGAAGTAATCTGTCTGTGTTCACTATTTTTATTTTGCTATTTTTACAACTAATAAATGGTGCCTATAAATCTACTGCGTCGGAGTTTTTTTTAATGAAATATAAATATGTTTTTTTCTGGTTTTGCATTATCAGGGACATGTCGTGTTTTGACCACAAACTCTTGCTTAAAATGACAGGAATCGGAAAAACTTTAAATTTTTGATATTTTTTATTAAACAAAAATACATTTAAAAAAATTATTTAAAAATCATCCAATCAGGCTACATCACAAAACGTTTTCGGAATCTATATTCCATCATCAGTGTGTACATGTTTTGATCCACTAAATATTTGGGTAAAAACCAGTTAAATGTTATTAATTTGAATTTAGGTTACATTATTGGATCTTATTTATGTTATGATCAGTGGCGAAGCTTGATGAAAAATTTTGGGTAGACAATTTTAAAGGAGTAATCCTTATTTCAGGTTTGAGGAAAATAAAACAGAATATTTTTTAAATATTTTAGTTTTATAAACAAGTAAACACAACAAAACATGGACACATTTTTTAAAACAAAAAATAAACTTAACTATAATGTTTATTCGCTAAACAATAAATATTAATTTTATTTTTATATATTAAGTCAATTTTTCTATTTTTCTTATTAGCAAAATAGTCAATAACTTGTTATTTCATTTCTGGAGTAATTGAGTGCACCATATCCTTTTCAATGCTTAAAGTGGATAATGAGGAAAGTAAAACAGTAGTCATTGAATTCCGCAAATATGTTTTAATTCTTTTTAAAGTGCTCATAGATCTTTCAGATGAGACCGTTGTTACAGGAATGGTCAAAAAATAATTTTAGTAACTTATAGCATTCAGAAAATACTTCTGTTAACTCTGTTGTCAAAAATATATGAAAAAAGATGGTAAGGTTCTAAATGTTTTTGTTCATCTGAATAAATTACAATCAACTCATTTTCCAATTTTCTCATATCAAAAGTTTTAGGATATACTCTAGAACAACTAAGAGATTTTTTGGAAATTGTTTATTATAATTTACGAAACTGTTTTTGTTTAGTAAGTTGATGTGGTGTGATGGGTGTCTTCGAATCTTTTTGTAATTGCTTACAGATTGCATCCAGTATTTCAAAACCTATTGTTTTAAAAATTTTTACTGTGTTAACATCAAGAGTTGTTTGAAGTATATTGGTGCACTCATTTACGCATATTTCAATTGTATTGTCATTTCTCAGATTTTTAATATTTTGTGTCATTTTATGTATTTCTTCGACACGTAAGCCTACATTGACAGACATTTTTGACTGTAAAATAAATAGAGGTGGTCTGTGAAAATAAAAATTTTGTAAAAAAGACGTAACATAAACACATATTTAGGATTTATTAAAATATTTTTAATACCAGTTGCTAAGTTGGTATTCTCTGGGTCAAATTTTTCTGATTCTATAATTATTTCTGTGACATCCAGTAATTTTTGATAATATTTGTGAATTCCATTCCAAAATTACATTTAGTTTCAACAGCACGTGGCAAAGCAAACCCCATTTTACGGAGTTCTGCCATTCTTCACGGAGATCTACTAAAAAATGTATGAAAAGCGGATAAGTTACAAATAAAAAGTTTTACATCGTTAATTTTTTTTAACCATAGAGTAGAACTAAATTTAATTAGTGTGCATAACAATGAATAAAAGTGTCACGAGGACAGGTTTCTTTAATTTTAGTTTGAACGCCACCTTTGGCGCCCGACATTACACTAGCGCCATCATATGTTTGGCATATTAATTTATCATTTTTTATCTCGTTGGAATGTAAAACGTGAATAATTTTTTCTGCAAGACCATTTGCTGATTTATCACTAGACACGTCTTAAAATCCCATAAAATTTTCACATGTCTTTTTTGTACACATACCTTAATATTACACTAAACTGGGATTTGCAGGATACATCAGTTGTTTTATCAGTCTGAACAGATATAAAGTCCGCTTCTTGCAAATCTTTAAAACTTTTCTGTCTGATAATACATTCCACTGATTCTATCAACTGATTTTGAATTTCGCTGGATGTACCTTTAAAAATGTTACTGGCTTCTAAGTGATCACGCATATTAGATTCTTCCAGAGCAAGTAGATCTAATAGTTCCAAATAATTTCCTACAAATATATCAAATATAGTTCATGAAAATTCTAGAGTTGAGAGTAATTTATAATAAAATATATTTTTGCAATAGTAATGTGATTAAAATTTGGGAACTTCTACTAACCTTTATTTTTTGATGTACCAGTTTCATCATGTCCTCGAAAAGCTAATTCTTGACAAGCCAAAAAACGAACTACCTCTATTAAACGACCGACAATTTTGCGATTTTTAACATCACGCTCGTTGTGACCTTGAGCATCAATTTTTCTTCCGTGGTCAATTGCATGATCTATTCGAACTTTTCCCAACAAATGGAACATTTCTTGCGACGAAATATGATTTTTTTAAGGTACCGTGTTTGCTAGCTTTGCAAACAAATTTTTTATAGAATCTATTCCACTTCCAGTCCAAGATGAATCGTCTCCAAATAACAGACAAGGAAAACAATATAATTTATTTTCAGTTTCGCTGCCGTAAAGCCATGTAAACTTCTCGTACCATTTATGATTGAAATGTCTTGTTGTTTTTCCATCTTTTTGTGATAAACTTAATTTAGGTCGTTTTTGACTATTTTTTCAATTTAATTTTATCTTCTAAGTTAAGCGCCGAAAACAAATTAATTCTCTTTTAAAAACACGACGGGGTCGAAATCAGCTGAATCCATGATAAACTATTTAAAAAAGGAAATAGATCTATTGAACGCTCTTAAATCACCTGTCCGAGACGAGTAAAAAAAATTAAATAAGATTTCCACAAGTCGTCATAGCATTAATTTCGGGCCAATGTTTTGTAAATGTATTCATTTTTTTTTTCGTATCCTGAAAAACCTATTAAATATTTTTGAAAAATTAAACGCAGAGTGAAAGATTACATTATTACCGAGGACCGAAAGTCCATTAGATTAAACAAAAAGTTTTTTTGAATGAGATATTTGAAATTAAAAATCACACTTAATTTTCTCTTAAAGCTCTCCTCTACGCTCTTAAAGCATTCTCTAATAAAGCAAATAGGTATTGTTGAAAACCCGCGCGACACATATCAAGGATTTAATTTGGTCCGTTGTGCTAGACAAATCAGAAACTGTCTCTTCGGGGCATAAGTTTCGCCATCGTCGGTATATGCCGGAATCGGTCGGGCTGTGAGAAATCCTCGCGTTTAATAGACAAATATGGTATTGTCTTTATAATATAGGCACCAATCGCTAAAGATTTTTCGTCCTAGGTTTAGAATTTATTCAGTTTAGTTTTAATTTTTCTGTAATAATAGTGCAGGCTTTTAGTATGTTTGGCTAATATTAATTATTTTTAAAGAAATTTCTAAAAATATTCTGGGGATTTTTCTATTTGGGTAGACAATGTCTACCTTGTCTATTCTTAAGCTTCACCCATGGTTATGATGCTAAAGTTACAATTGAAATTGATAGCATGGCAACGTAAGACTCTACAGGAGGTTGTTGGTCCTGAGACAAAGTGTCTACGAGGACTTTTTGATAGCAACTAACTCCTGTTAGTGCCCATGTGGTCATTGGCATACAAAATATTGAAATGTAAGTGTTCTTAACATAATTTTTCAAATTCTTTGTGGTATGCTTCCTCCATTCTCAGCTAACTTCTTTTGACGTAGATGCTCTAGTATTTTAGGCAAAGGCTTTCTTGAAAAATAATAATGTTTTGTCGAGAATCCTCGTAGTGTTTATAATCCGTTTACCTACACTGTTCTTCTTATCTGGTTTTAATGGTAAACATCTCCACAGCTGCAAGTTTGATACAGTTTCTGTCTCCATCTTACCAAATATTTATTGGCAGCGAGATTGTTTTTATTTAAACTCTACGCTCTAACTCCAATGACGTTAAGAGTTTTTGAAATAATTACGCGTTTTGACATTTCAAATTTAAAATTCCATGGTGGCTTCATAACAGGCTGAACCTTAGTTTTCCAGTCAAGAATGTAACACAACAAACGGTGGTCATTGTTTGAGGTACACAAAATAAACGAGGCCGCGTTGCTCTAAGTAAGAAGAGATGTGGGGTGGTTTTTACCAGTCTTATTACCATATAAACAAAAAAAATGGAGAGAAGAAAGATTAGGAGATGATAGCTACTAGAGTTAAACCGGAATTGTTGAATAGACAAAGCAAAGAAAAATGTAAAACAGTTACCAGAAGGGGCACCACGAAATTATTATTATTTTAAGACTGACAAAAAAATAAAATTGGACGACCAATAGTACATGAAGACTAACAGAGGAGAAGGAAAGAACCCTATTTTTTCCGTTTCTAAAAAAGTTCAAGAATAAACCAGTAGAACGTAGCTTATAGAAAAATTATAACGACTCACTTGACGGACATTTTTGGGAATAACATCAGAAGTGATTCACTGTGTGGTTAAAATGGAATGATGCGCTCTTTTTCACGGAGCAAGCTTATCCCTGTCGAAATCAAGCTACGTCGATTGGTACGTTGATGGACGCTTGCGTCATTTGTCGATAATCGACGATCAAAATCAGTTTTAATTACCAGAACATTATTTTAAGATGAAATAAGTTGTTCAAGGAATGCATAAAAATGACTGCGTTTTGAATTAAATAAAATAAAAAAATTATAGGTTCTTTTGATCAGTACAATACAAGAACTGGGATATCGACCCCCCAACCTGTAAACGTTGTCCCAATTTTCTATTACTTTAATATACTGTTCAGGACCTGTAACTTGAGACGTTTTTTAAATCGATTTTTCAATTTGGTCAAAAAG